TGGAATGATTATCACAGCGTTGGAGCTGAACCACACAGGACGGTCGGGAGTCATAAACACGGACACAGACGGTGGAAAGATTCTCCTGGAGAGAGAATCAAACATCTCAGGAGCAGCTTGTTGCGTCATCAAACATCGTCCCCATTACCATGACATCCAGCCCATCAGGGCCTCGCTGGGGATGAATTATTTGAAAACAGTTTGAATAATCAGGTTTAGTTTGTGTTTCGGCGTTCTGCTGCAGCTGAAGGAGATAACGGCGCTTTCTTTCTCTGCTTCCACATCTGGAAAATCTTCTCTCGGCCGTCAGACTCAGCCGTAATCTTCAGACTCACCGGTGCAGCATAATAAGTGAGTTATTATGCCCTTGTGTGAATTTGAGTCTGCGTTTGCAGACTTAGAGAAACTTGGGTGGTGTGCCCAGAATACTCCCACAGCATTAAAGCTTTCTTTCATCTCTCGTTCTGTTCCTGTCTTTCTTTTTCCCTGACCTGCCCTGTTTTCTTACTGGAGCTTTTTTTTCTCTGTGAACATCTTTGATTTACCGTCTTCACTGAAAACTGAGAATTAAAACAATCCAACGAGTCCTGAAAGATTTCTGATGCTGCAATCACTTTTATGATGATGCTATCTTTTTATTAGCTGGTGCAGCAGCTGAAGGGAAGGTTGAACTATTTTCTTATCATCACAAAGGCCTCTCATTTTCCACCTGGCCTGAGGTTTTGTTTTGAGCAGTGGAGTGCTTTTATACAGATATTGTAGACAAATCCTGTTTAAACTCAACATATTGAAGCAGTTAGTGAAAATATTAAAGTTTCCAAACAAATGTTTTCAAAGATTTCTGTCTCCAGACTCGTTCACCAAATCTCATCACATTTCTCACATTTAAATGTTTTTCGATGCATCAGCAAACTTATCAAGAGAAAAAACATAAGACAGTAGATTCATTTCTAAAACTTTGGAAAAACTAACTTCTCTAGTAAACATTAGATTTTTAATGCAACTCTTCACATCCAACAACTGAGGATTTTGTTTGTCGATGTTCATAAGAAGAAAATATCTGCTGACTTGTTTTTAAGCAGCTGATCTCAGGCTCTGCTGCAGCAGATAGCTGGACTACACAAGGTCTGTGCAGTCAGCACATTTACTTGTGAAAACATAAAAGAAAATTGAATTATTTATGTTTCCTATTAATAAATAAATCTTAGCAGGGTTTCTTTTGCAGTCTGGAAAAGCCTACAATGTGATTTTATTTCCTTCCTTATCTTTATTATTTTACATTTTTTTAACTTCAATAAAGTCATCGGACGATAATGCCTAAATAACCAAAATAAGTAGTAATATTACTAGAACAAAGTAATAAAAGTGAAAACAAGTTTTAATATCATGAGAATAAACTAATATTAAGTAATAATAATACAGACCAATTCCCATAACTTTGTATATTTATTTTAGCTGCATAATGAGGTTTTATCATAATGTTACTCCTGTATTGATGAATGTTGCTTGGCGATGGAGCTGCAGGCTGCATCACTTCTTCTCCATCTTGGTTCTGATTTTCTGCAGCCACTGGAAGCCATCACATCTCACCAGCAGCCATCTTTGTGCTGCTGGCAGAGATCCAGTCATGTTCACCTCTCACCAGTAAAAACAGCAACAATGCTGTGGTGTCAGTGAGGCCTGGTGGTCACCCTGTAACCTGAACCAGAGAACAGAAGACAGAGTTCAGCTGGAGGATTTCTGCCTCTGATGCTCCATCAGCTCCAGCTTGGACTCATTGTTGCTCATGTTCTGCAGCAGGATCTCTCCGCCTCCACAGAGTAATTCCTAGAATCCCTGCATGCACAGGACAAACTGTTGACTTCTCCCCTCCATCCTGGGCTCCACAAAGCCGGCCCTCCGCACTAACCTGCTTCATCTTCCTCCTCCTCCTCCTCTTCCTCCGCCTTGAAGCTTGAATCAGCATCCTGTCACAGTAAATTTGCAGTTGTGGTCACACAGTCTACTTGACCCTCACAGTACAAATAAATGGGGGAAATGAAAGGCCAGAAACGAGACACACTGGGTTTATTTTTCAAACCATTACTGAGGTTTCACTCAATAAATAACTCCACTGAAATATCAAGGGGTCTGTGTCAACGTTGGTTTTCCATTGTCATTAAGCTCTTATTGCTCTGTCTGCTTGACTGATTTGGTTTTCAGAATAATTTAACCCCGTAATCCCTGAATGTACGTGAAACTGTACAGAATCTGTTACCACTTGTATTTCTGCAGTAAAACCTACATTTAAATACATTTGAACATCAGACCTACTAGTAGTGTAAATTCAGGTTCACACCTGAACTTACAGGTATGTAAATTCATCCATAAGGAATGAAGCAGTGTTCAAACTTAGTATGTTTTTTTTAAAACATGTGTTTTTTGTCTGAGTGTTTAAATGAAGCCCAACAAATTAACTCTGGTTTTATTTCAAATGTCATAAACATGGAGATGGAAAAGAAAAGACTGGAAAAATGTTTGAAATGAAACAAAGAAGCTTAGAGAGAACAAGTCCAGAAGTCTGCAGAAAGAGAGAAAATAAAGCTACAAACAACATATGCATGTATAATAATAACCACACTCAACTTTCCTGCCTCCTGGGTGTCCTCAGGGTTCTGTCCTGGTGCTCCTTTCCTTTCATCACTAACGTCTTCCCCTTTGCCAGTATTTTCTGCACATTTAGCATCCATTGTTTGGTAGATGACGCTCAGCTCAAACATTCTCAAATCAAATTGTAACAAAACTCAATTTTTCCTCCATGGCACAAAACCCATAAGATCCGTCATGTTTCCCTCCCGTCTGACTGAATCTGGACTGAATCTGGACTGAATCTGGACTCAGACTCTCCGGTCCAGGCAGCATGCTGTTTCATCCAATGTTTGCACTGGGAGCGAATGAAGACAGCTTTACAGTCTGTTTTGCATTTTTAAAGCTTTTCACTTGATTAGCTTTTATATTTGACATTCTTGTAGCTTTGCAACTCAGCAGAAACCTTTGAAAAACTTTCCTCCTCCCTCCTCCTGCTCAGCAGATAGAAGGTCAACTTTACAACAGAAGCTTCTACTTTTGGACATGTTTGCCAAAAGTTTTGCTCTTCCACACACATTTCAAGCTCAGGTTTTACTAGCCTCTGAGAACTTGGCAAAGTGGAGAATTTTCCATTGATCATGAGATTTTATTCTCTTTTTTTTATGGGCTGCTCATATTTTTATCCTGCATACCTGTAGCAAACATTGTACATTCAACCAGACGTTCGTTTTTTTTTCTCTTCACTGAGAGAAAAAAACAGAAACGTTGCATCAAAAACCAGATGTTTACATCCACAGTATCAAAAGACTCATGATATTTTTATTTCTCATCAAAGTCAGGGACAGTGATCTGGATTTTTGGAGACGTGCTTTGGTCTGATAAAACCAATGATCATCTTTAGGTTTAGAGGCAAAAAGAGAGAAGCTTGCCAGCTGGAAAATGTTTCCCCATCGTGATGTGATTGTGTTTTGCTACAGGAAGGACTGGTGCGCTTCACAAACAAGCTTGGGCTTAAATGATTCTCCCAATCAGTTTCAGTGTCTCCAAGATGACCAAGTCCAGGTTTTGATCTCTGCATGGAGGAACGAACAAACATTTGGCAAAACATGTGAAATCTTGACAATGGGGCAAGATGTTTCTTATTGTTTAGCTTTACCAAACAGAAATATGTTTGTAAATCCAAACTGGCCTACAACCAGCAAAGCTTAGCCTGAATAAATGTTAAAATAGGAAAAAAAGTTTGTTTCTTCATACGGTTTACAGTCCATTAGAGGGAGGCCCCTGGTGACCCCTAAGTTAAGATCCCTTTGCTTAAACTTTGAGAGGGACTTTTACAGCATCACTCTGCCTCGTCCACAGAGTGTTTCAGGATCAGAGGCTCAGTGAAGCGAAGCGGGAAGCTGGAATGTTGAGTGAAGGTTTTGAAAGAAATGAATCCCACGTTAGTTCAGTGATTATGGTTAATAAAATCTGACCAAGACAGCATGATCTGGCGTGTTTTACAACATCTCGGTCGGAAAGTTTTCTTTCTCAGATGTTTTTGCTTTAGTCATTTGGGTGTAGGCTCTCCTGCTTTTTCCACTGTTGGCCTTTAGGAATCAGGGCAGCAGTAAAAAAATAATATTTACCAGTCAATTAAATAATTGGTTTTATTTCCAATAAATCTCTGGTGACTGTTGGCTCTTTTCCAGTGATTTTCTCTTTCAGACTCGGCTGTTTGGACCAGCCAGATGAACTGACTGGACGGTTTCTCACTGGTTCACATGACTTAAACGTTTGGTCCTGAGCTGATCATTGAGGTTTCTGAGGTTTCACCTCCTGACCTTGTACTCCTCAGCTTCATATCCTAAACTGATGCATGCAGTTTATCTGTTGCAACTATAAATATCTGAGTTGAATTTTGGATAATTGTCTGTGGAATTTCTTCTACTTTGTGCTTTCAGTAGATTCTGAAAGATCTGATTATTTCAAATGTTTGGTCTTGTGATCTTGGTCATCCATTGATGAAGGAGAAAATTGCTGCTCTCTGGTTATCAACAGAATCCCAGTTGGTTGAACCTGAAATTTCAGTTGGTAAAATTTTGATTCCATCAAGTCTGGGTCCTGATTCCAGTTTAATGCAGCATCAGCTAATGTAGAAGCTCTGAGAAAACTTTATCTCTCTGCATGAAGTTTGTAGGAAAATGTCACCAGACAACAGTCAGCACTGATATTGGAGTTACTTAGATAATTTACTTTAAAACATAACATATTCACAATGAAACACTGAGCTTGCAAAATTCGGCTCAAACTAATTGAATGGAAGTTTAACCAGTGGCCAAGTTTTATTTGTGGCATAATAAAAAGGTCACATTGTTGATCCCATTTAACTGTGAAATCAAAGCAGTTGACTAGAAATACTCTAAATCACAACCAAAAACTGCTTTTACTGCTGTCATAAATACTGAGGGAGAAGTGGAAGAGACAAAGGAGCCAGAAGAGCTAATCACAGGTGAGTGGGTGCAGCTGCAGAAGGGAGCAGGCAGAGGAAAATAGTTGTGAAGCAGAAGAGAAGAGAAATATTCTGGTAAACAGGTGGGCACATCTCCACTACATTATATAAAACTGAAGACAGTTAAATATGGAAATTAGGTTTTTGTTACAACTGTTGCTATGAAAAAAAGAATGTAATTTCCTGTATGACAACAATCCTGCTCCTCGTGTTATTCTGTACCCAGAATGCCTTGCTGTAGGTCTACAGTAAACAGTTTAAAATCTACTGATATCCTGTGTGCTTTCTGACACGTGGGTATCATTATTACCAAAGTTAGCATTTTAGCATGAGCTAAATGCTAAATTGGTATAGTGCTTCACCATTAGCTCAAAACAATGTTTTGTGGCGCTTTAGCGTTATCTAAATACCATGTTCCTGTCAGCAGAACGAATGTCTATGATTAGTGCTTCAGGGTCAGAGCAGCTGACCTTTAGTTCGCCGTCCCCGGTTCTGTCCTGATAGCTCTCCATCCCAGAATCTTGGTGTGTTGGACTGAAGCAGTGCAGCTGATGAAACGCTCCTCAGGTCCTGAGGGCAGTTTGTGCTTCCACTACTCAACTGTGTTATGGCATCTAAAATTGGACAAACATGCTATTTTACAGGTGATGATAATTTCCCGATGCGCATACGAGGCATATCTGGAATACTAATGGCGTTTGTCAGAAGTGCTATCCAGAACAAACTGTAAAATCTTATTAATGAGGGAATTTTTTTAATGTGCCAGCTGCTGGTAATCCGAAACACATGTTGGGAAATTAATAATTAGACTCTTATCTTGTTCGGCTTGCTGAGAATCAGCTTTTCCAGCCAAAGGTAGTTTTCTGTCCCAGAGGATCACACCAGCTGTGTCTGATAAGGAGGAGAGATGGATGGAGAAGTTGCGGTTCGGGTTAGATTAGCTGTTCCAGCGGTTAGGGAGCAAGGACAAAAGCAGACTTCATATCCATCCATCACCTCCTCAGAAAGATTTATGCAGAGGTGGAGGGGAATGTGGCGTGCTTACTAAACCTGAGCTTCCTTTGTGTTTATGTGTCCCTTCATCTGAAGGTGGTAATGCTGTTTGATTGGTTCCCTGAGCTCATTTTCACTTCCATTACAAGTCTATCAGAGGAAGGCAGGATCTTGATGAAAGAGCCTCTGTAGACAATTGATCTCAGTAATGATGAAGAGGAGGGAAAGGGCCAGACGTGCCGTTTCTTTCTCAGGATTCCTGCTCAGGTGCTCACTGGAGTGTGAGCCAGACATGGCTTTGCACTTTGATGGGCTTGTTAGATGTGTTGTGTGATGGATTGCTCTTAGGATACTCTTGAAACCTGCTACTTGTGTGGCGCACAGCACAATGGCCAATTATCTTTAAAAAAAACTGTGCATGTTCTCTAAAATGTTTTCTAAACTAATTAAATTTATACTTTGCTGCAACCTTTGCTCAGAACAAACAAGGTGTTGTTGGAAAAAACAGCCGCAGCTAAACGAGGCAGGAATGGGCTCAAAGCAGGGTTTCCCTTAATTAGCCTGTTTTGCATTTCTCCAAGGATTTTTCATCCGCATGCCAAATAAAGCTTAAATTGTATCAGTTTAGAACTGAATGTGCTGGAAGCATAGAAGAGATGAAAAAAGTGTGTTCTCAAACCTCCCCTGGGGTTGCGCTAAACCACTTATTTCAGGCTAAACTGGATTATTGACAAAAGACACAAAGCTGGACGGCTTGAGTTTTCATGCATAATGGGGGCTGAAGCTCCAGGCTGGTGGCTGAACTGATGGATATTTAACTGGAGGATGCACAAGATTATTTATTCATGAGAAAATACACGTCGGGATTGTGTTTCCGCTGTAGTTTGTGCCTCATTACACTCCTGGAACAATGCAGGCAGTCTATTTTTGCTGTCACATTTTATTTTCTTAGAAAGTCGGAGCGTTTGGTGATTTAAGCCTTGAGCAGCAGCACTGAGGTCACAGCTACAGACTGAAGTGCAATCACAGGGTTGTTTTATGTTTTCACAGAAATGTTCTTTTGCACAAAGAAAACACAATGTTGAAATGCAGAAGAATAATTTAAAGCAAAACGTAACATGTGGATGCAGTCAGGATGGCAGTGATTCTGGGAGGAGTCGGGATGACTTCCCTGTGCATCGATGAGCCAAGTTGGAGTGAGCATGTTCTGGAGGATTCCAGTGGATCACCAGTGGATCCTGAACAGCCAAACACGCTTGATTCAAATAAAAATGCTGGTTATGTCTTCTCTCATGGTTCTCGCCACAGCAGCAGCTGAACAGACCTGCAGAAATGAGTCAGAAACTCAGCAGAGATCAGGGTGTCGTGTGATTCATGCTTGGTTTCAGTGAAACGTTCTCCAGCCTGGCCGGATTCCCCACAGTGGGGTTTCCTGTAAGCTGCTGTTTGGAGCTGCCAGAGTTCCTGAGATCCAGTTGAAAATTTCAGTAATCTGAACTGAATGTCGCTGCCTCAGAACCTGGAGGTCCAACGCCGACCCATCAGTGTTTTTGGTGAACTCTGATTAGCTTGAGGTCGCGGCGTTCTGCCGATCAGCTGCAGGCTGCAGAGGCTCTCTGGTTTCCAACGAACCGTTTAGATTTCATTTGAAACTTGACGCGGCAGGACATCTGTCTGTTTCTCCAGTTTTATTTTAATTACGCATCAACAATTCATCCTTCCTGTTTCTAAGATTGTGTTGCTTTTACTGTCTGAACAGAAATATGTTTTTTTCTTTTCTTATTTTGTAGCATTCAAATAATATTTGACTACATCTGGAGTTTCCTTGTGAAATTCAGCAAAAAACAGATTTTTCTTTACTGACTTTGAACAAGCAGTTCATTTATTTACTCACTTCTGTTCACATCTTGATTATTAAAATTTTCCACTGAATTCTTAGTGTTTTTCTGAGAATAAATCAAAGTGAAATGCTTTTCTGGACTGAAAGTATGACCTTCTGTTGCTAAGCAACAAAACAGCTTCCTGGGTCGTTTTCAGTCCTGACCTTTTTTCTGTTTTCCATAAACCGTCATAGATACGATGGGCTCCAGCTCCAGAGATTTATCTTTCCGGCTCAGAAGTTGCATAAAAAGGCGGTTGGTTCAGGCTGTTGGTTCAGGTGGTTGGTTCAGGCTGTTGGTTCAGGCTGTTGGTTCAGGCTGTTGGTTCAGGCGGTTGGTTCAGGCGGTTGGTTCAGGCGGTTGGTTCAGGCTGTTAGTACAGGTGGTTGGTTCAGGCTGTTGGTTCAGGCTGTTGGTTCAGGCGGTTGGTTCAGGCGGTTGGTTCAGGCGGTTGGTTCAGGCGGTTGGTTCAGGCGGTTGGTTCAGGCTGTTGGTTCAGGCTGTTGGTTCAGGCGGTTGGTTCAGGTGGTTGGTTCAGGCGGTTGGTTCAGGCTGTTGGTTCAGGCTGTTGGTTCAGGTGGTTGGTTCAGGCGGTTGGTTCAGGCTGTTGGTTCAGGCGGTTGGTTCAGGCTGTTGGTTCAGGCTGTTGGTTCAGGTGGTTGGTTCAGGCGGTTGGTTCAGTCGGTTGGTTCAGGCGGTTGGTTCAGGCTGTTGGTTCAGGCTGTTGGTTCAGGCGGTTGGTTCAGGTGGTTGGTTCAGGCGGTTGGTTCAGGCTGTTGGTTCAGGCTGTTGGTTCAGGCTGTTGGTTCAGGTGGTTGGTTCAGGCTGTTGGTTCAGGCTGTTGGTTCAGGCGGTTGGTTCAGGTGGTTGGTTCAGGCGGTTGGTTCAGGCTGTTGTCATGGCGACTGCCGGTTGTTTCTGGACTCGTTTTCTTCCAGGCGTCAGATCCCGGCGCCGGCAGCAATCATTAGCAGACAGAAGCTGCATTCAAAGGTTAATGATGCTCCTCTTCTCACACTCAGTTTGTAAATGACAAAGCGATCAATAGTTCATCCCTGAAGCTGTGATGGTTGAAACATCACATCTTTGGGATATTATAATGCAATGATCTTCTAAATGACTAAATATCACAGAACGTGATGTTCTGATCCCTCTGGAGATTTTAATTCCAGCATTCATTATCCTCCAGTTCATCTTTTTATATCCTGTTTCTTTTTTTCTCTTGAGCTCTAAATGTAATACCTGAATGTTATTTTCAGAAAGTTAAAACTACAGAGCAGATTGGAAACTTTTGCACGATTCCTGTATGTTGGACACTTTGGGAAAGTCGCCTGGTCCGAACATCAGCGCAAGCTTGTGCAGAAATGTGTCGGGTCATTTTTCAGCGCTCCGCCAACAAGTTATTGAACAGCCAACACTTTACATATTTCCTCGGTAGTTCCACGCAATGCAGAAAGTGTTGAATATCGACTCTGTTTATGATGAATGGAGTTCATACAGCTGTGCTTGTTTTCTTTTGTCTGCAGAGGCCATGAAGTTAAGAGGAAAAATGATGTGTGTAAAGAAAAGATCTGCTGTTCTCTTTTATTTGAAACAATTGGTGGATTGATTCATCATAAATGTTCTGGTTTTAATAAAGACTGAACCATCTGATCTGGACTGGAGCTGAACTGTTTGGACTGTTCAACCAGAGGAGCTTCTCACACACAAACCTCATTTTGACTAAAGTAAAATAAAATAAATGGCATCTCTCATTTCACTGGTGTTTAAAAAATAGAATTAACTGACAGTCACAAACTTAAAAAAACCATTTCATAAATAATTTTGAATCAATACAACTATTGATACAACAATTCAGTCCAACTTTCAGCCATTCTTGTTTTGCAGTTTTCTCTCTTGTCCCAATATTTAACTGCCAAATACAAGAAGAGATCATTCCTAAAACATATTGAAGGAAAATGCAGCTATCTCCACGCTATGCTCTCTGACATGCTTTGTGTTTGTTGCTGTGTGTGACCCGGTTTTGTGTTTTTGTGTGTCTGGCAGAGGAAGAACCAGCAGCTGCTGCTCAACGTGTCTCTGTTGGCCGTGTGGGGAGTCGTTTTGCTGGCCTGCCGCTTCTCCTGGATGGGCAACAAGCCGCCCAACTTCTCCAACTCAGACAACCCGGCCGCTGACTCGCCTTCGCTCCTCGCCAGAACTCTGACCTTTTTCCACCTGCCTGCCGCCAACTTCTGGCTCCTCCTCTGCCCGGACACGTTGAGTTTTGACTGGTCAATGGATGCCTTGCCTCTGATCAGGAGCCTGGCCGACTGGAGGAACGTCCACACGCTTCTCTTTTACCTGGGATTGCTTCTGCTTGTTTGGTTTGGCCTGTGGATGCACTCAGCAACCAGGACCAAGGAAACCAATGGGAAAAGCCACCATTACATTAACGGCAGGAATGGGAACAGTAATGGACACAGTTACCACGAACACACAAACCATTCTCACACAGACACCAATAATATTTTCACTCAGAATGGAACCAGCAACCTCTCAGAGAGCAGGACTTCACTGCCGACCACTGAGAATGTGGTGGCGTTCTCCCTGGGCCTTCTGGCCTTCCCCTTCCTGCCTGCTACAAACCTGTTTTTCTATGTTGGCTTTGTGATAGCAGAGCGAGTGCTGTACATCCCCAGCATGGGCTTCTGCCTGCTTGTCGCTGTGGGGCTGCGGTCGCTGTGTGTACGGCTGCGACGCAGGTCCTGCAGGAGGGTGCTGCTGCTCTGCAGCGGCGCTGTGCTTCTTCTGTTTGGGATGAAACCGTGGTGAGGAATCAGGACTGGCAGAACGAGGAGATGCTCTACAAGTCAGGGATCTATGTCAATCCTGCTAAAGGTAAGACTGTCCTGACTGCTGAAATGATTACTTAATAATTGTGATTAATGGTTTATTGAAATAACCGTCAACTAATTTGGTAATGAACTGGAGTTTACACACTCTAACAATCTGCTGAAAGAGTAATTAAACTAAAACTGTACAAAAATATATACTTTTTACATTTAAGATGAAAAACCTTTATCTGTGAATATATTCTACTCCTGGCAGTTTCAGCTTCACGCTGTTCAAATTCTGTAAAAAATATATATATTAAGCTTCTTTTGCTATCCAATCATTAACCCAAAATACAGTCAGCAGATTAGTAAACAGTGTTTTTTCAGCTGCAGATTTTTTTTTGCTACAAATGATCAAAGAGTGTGTTATTGCAATCTATGCAATAAAATCTTTATTTTCTTATTTTAAAGGAATTGAATTAGTTGCTTATTTGCATCTTTGTTGAATTGAAAATCTGTCAAAATCAGATTAATCATCAAAATGATCAATGACTAAAATAGTCTTTGCAGTCCTAATCGTTTAATTGTTTAAACTTAAGTGCATCCACAGTGGAGCAAACATCTCTGCGTCCAACACGTCACGTTTTATTGCCTGAATAACTGCAGGACGTCTTCCAGCTTTCAATGTCTTCTTGTCTCCAGCAGTTTTCTGCAATACTAAATAATTTAAAGTGAATTTGCTTCAAAATGTCTCCTTCACTCTGGATCACCACAGATAGATGGAGACCTTCATGCACAGAGTGAAAGCAGGATAAAATGAATTCTGCATATGGTGTCAGTGCAGCAGTGAGTTAAAACGGAGTTGTCAGTCTTGATGACGTATTTTCTCCTACTTTCCTGCCGTTTTCTGCTCAGAACGCGTCCCTGCCCGTCCCCGTCTGTCACATCCAGCCGGCCATAAAATATTCAAAAGGCTTCAAACTAATCAGACGCAGATTTAAACCCAAAGCTAAGTTTGCGGAGCTGCTGAGCAGTGAAGCAGGCGTGGGCCTCACGGCGCAGCAGAAGGACACGTTGGGTTTGCTAATTTCCCTTTCAGATTCTGCAGCGGAGCTGAGGCATGACAGCTGTTTGCTTTGGCAGGCCAACACGGTAGCAGCAATGTCCCGCCTTTCATTCAACAAAGCTAATATGAGACTTGAAGGGAAACCAACATCAGACACACAAACTGTTTGGATTGCTGGAATCCACACAATCTTCCTTAAATAGAAAAAGTGATGCAGGCTGTGAAGGAAACAGATCAGTCTGGATTTGTTTTAACTTCTCCTTATTGACTAAAATGTTGATTAGATTCTAAAGACCAGGACGGATTTAATGACTGTTTACCATTATATTGTCTCTTTGTGAGATTCATGTTGACATGAAGATCAGTGACAGTTTATCCAGCAGACCAAATATATTCATATCATTCAGAATTTACGTGATATAAAGATCCAAATATTCCATGACAGATTTGACATAATAAATGTAGTAAAAGCTTGTTTGTCATGATTCTATGCTTTATGATTATATTTCAGTTTCAGCTCTTCTGCTGATTTGCCGACAGCAGAGCTAACTTTTCATTTAGCCTTTCCTCTGACTTTGAAACATTAACAACACTTAGTTTTCTCTAAATGAATTTTTCTTTTGTTTTCACTGAAGCTTCAATACAAACAAAGAAAAACTTGTTTTTTCATCAGAATAATATTCCCGGATTATAAAATTGATCAGCAGAACAAAAACTCGACACCGACAGCAGGTATTCTGTGAAATATTGTGATTTGTTAATAATAACTTTGTGGTGCTCAGGTCTTATTGCCAAATAAAATCAGAGTTCACATAAAGTCCATGTAGTACATGCAGCATTATTGCGTTTTAATCTGCGTTTATTTTACACTGATCAAGGCTCTTTTATAAACTTTTCGACTGTATTCAGTGTAAAAACCGAACCTTGCCTGTCAGTCTCTGCTCCCTGCTGTTAGCTGCAGTTCATTCGGCTCTTCAGCGGCGCTGCGGCGCTCTTCTTTCAGGCTCAGGCTCTGGAAAAAAGGGTTTTTCTTACATGGCGCTTCCCTGCAGAGCCATTTGTATGAGATCAGCAGCTGCAGCAGAACTGCATCGTTTTAGACGTTGAACCTGAGATAAGAAACTGCTTAACAAACTTAATATTATTACAAAAGGTCCTTCCTGTTTGTACCAAAGTCATTGAGCATTTAACTAACCTTGTCCTCTGTGACCTGTCAGCTTGGGGCAACCTGGGAAATGTTTTGAAGAGCCAGGGGAAGATGGATGAGGCTGAGCAGGCCTACAGAAACGCTCTGTATTACCGCAGCAACATGGCCGACATGCTGTATAACCTGTGAGTATGTATTTTCATCCTGGTGTGCTGTTTGGGTTTATCTAGTTCTTGTGGTGATGTCATTGTTTCTGTAAAGTGGCTGCAGAACCGGAGACAGAGTGCATTTATCCCAGCTGTTCTGTCTGAGAAATTGCCCTCTTGTCTTCTATTCCCCATCGTGTTGTTGGGCTGACAGGAGTATTAATGATGCCGTTTTAGTCAAAGAGGAAATGTAGAACACCAGGATTCCTTTGATTCCCACTCTTATCAGCTGTTTTTGTCTTGATGTGGAGCTTTAGCTCTGCACGCTGCCTGCGCTGAGCTGCAAACCGTCTCACATGTCGTCCTGCTTTCTCTTTGTCTGCTCCAGTGGTTTGCTGCTGCAGGAAAGCAACAAGTTCTCCGAGGCGCTCCACTACTATAAGCTAGCCATTGGGAGCCGGCCAACGCTGGCTTGTAAGTACAGCTCTTGTCTTTTTATTGACAGCCTCCAGCCCTGGTGGTTGTGGCTGTGCCGTGTCCAGGCAACAGTGAACAAAGGCTGTGGTTATGTAAAGGGAAGTAATGGATGGCAAAGGGCAGTGGGTCTACAGCAGAGCTGAACATTCAGGCACAGCTGTGTGACCAGCTCTCTGAGCCCGCGTATGTCAACAGATCAAGCGAATGCATGATGTCATTCACCATGAATTCGGGCCGCGGCGCTCTCTGCTTTCATTCCTCTTCAGCCTTTTTCGGCCTTTTTCAGTTTTCTCACCTTCTGCTCCGTTATTTCATCCTCCCAGTTCCAGGCTGCGGTCAGAGACAGATAAACACAGTCCTGAACGTCTCGTCCTTCCTCCACCGGAGTAATTGAACATCTAATCAAGCTTGTGATAAAACTGGGAAATTCTAATTCAGCAATTATCCAATTTGCAGAAGCTGATAGCAGTTAGTTAATTACTCCAAGCTGCTGACACTTTGAACGCAGAATGTTAATGCGACAGTGTTCTTTCCAAGGTTACACCATCACTCAGTGCCTAATTGTGAGCCAACGAGGACACATTGTTGGGTTTTTATTCAGCCCACATCTTATTCTCTGATGAGGAAAAAAGGTTTTGTTTGGCTGCTTTGTAGGACGGATAAAATTGGGTGATTTTTTTTCTGTTAACTTTGTGTTTTGTTCTCAGGTGTTCAGAGTGAGAAATATTCAAAACATAAAATGATATATATTTCTGTTCATCTCATCCCTGTGGTTGAATTTAAATATCTCCACTCAAAATTATTAACAGCAGTGATAAATTACATCATAAAGTGAATTAAAACTTTGTTCCCATTCTGTATTGATTTGTATTTCGATGCTGGAAAAGTATAAAAACTTACCTGGAAAATTCTGGAAAAGTGCTTAAATTTCACTGAAAGTCTGTTTTGTCTTTTTGTTTTTATTCATTCTTCTTCACAAAGGAAAGTTTTTACTGCAGAATCAAGTAGAACAGATGAAAATGTGCAGGATGAGTAAAGAAACAAGATGTTTAACTCCCAACCCGTCTCCTTTTCCTTCATAATGCTGTGGCTGTCTTCAAGAGCCTGGCAGATTGATCCGATGCGTCCAGTTTATTTATTCTAACCACCAGGCTTTCTTTAAAGGGGAAGGTCCTCTGAGACTAATTACTCACCAGCAGGTATTGATCAGAAGATCCCATCTTTGTCAGTTGCACAGAAGTCCAAGTGCCTCCAGATAACTGGGCATAATTCCTGCAAACAAATAGAAAAGATGGAAAATTTCATCCAGATCCTAGAAAAACTCACATTAGAAACGTTTTTGTTTTCACAAACAGGGTTTCAGGAGTTTAACAAAAACTTAAAGTTTCAAACATTCCAGCGTTGATTAGTTCTAATCTGATCCAACTGCAACAAGAAGAATAGAAATTTTTTTCTGTTTTCCCCAACAGAATAAAACTGCTATAAATCTCAGACTGCGTTTCTCTTGGGTGTAATTATGTGCAGCCTGGATTTAACTAGAGATGATCAAATGCAAAAAGCATACAAACAACTGGATAATCCATCATGAGATATTGTCTTACGAAACAGATCGTTTTAATATCAATCCCAGAAAATTGTCTGTTTCAAACAGAAATTACCAGGAAAGAGATGGAAAAAAACGTTCATGACTTTATTTTACGGTCTTGATGAAACATCTTCATCAAGGATCCAAACCTTCTGGGTCAGGACACGTTTCTGCTGCCATGAAAGATAAAGCAATAAAACTGGTTGGGCTCAGAGAAACGAATCTGCAGCTGTGAGGGACGTAATATGATTATGGAAATCAATAAACAGCCATCACTGAGCTGAGTGCTGTTGGATCGATCTGTTTATGCGGCACCAGTCCACACAAGTCATGTACAAAACGCTCAGGCAGATACATGCAATAATTCAGTTCAGTCTATTTCAGGCCTATAAATGCCATTCAGTTGGTCACAGTCACATTTCTGTTCAGTTATAATGCAGTAAAAAGCATGGAGACCAAGTCCATCAGAACGATAAAACGCCTGAATCCGGGGTTCAGCCTGACCTCACCTGCTGCTTGCTTCCTTCTGCAGCCGCCTACTTGAACACGGGCATCATCCTCATGAATCAGGGCCGTCTGGACGAGGCCAAGCGGACCTTCCTGACCTGCGCCGACATCCCCGACGAGAACCTGAAGGACCCCCACGCCCACAAGAGTTCAGTCACCAGCTGCCTGTACAACCTGGGCAAGCTGCTGCATGAGCAGGGGCAGCAGGAGGTACCAGAGCGAAACGCCTTCAGCAACCTGCCAGCAAAACCTGAGTTTCCACTGAGCCTGAAATCACAGTTTGACTATCAGGAAGTGAATTGGCTTCATGGAGACATAATAAAAAAACTGGTGATATGATCAAAGGTTTTGTTGCAGGTTTTTTGGCCGTATCAGAATTGGTCTGTTTTTGGTTCTGCACTGGAAGCACTTGTTACGGATCAGATGATTAAACCACAAAGTCAACAGGAAGTATTTGGAAGATCACAATATACTTTAAAATGACTTATTGCATATTCACAGAATCCGCAGCTCTAATAAGCTGGATTTACATTTTTTTCAAAATAGTGAGAAATTTCTAGTTCTAAAGTGAGATAAATTAATTCATTCTTCAAATTTTTAATGTAAATTACATATTGATGTTATACTTTGTACAGCAGTGTAGATCAATTTAATGTTTTTATGTTTTGTCCTGATAAATGCGGGAACTGAAGTTCTTTTCATTCCCTTCATGAAGGACGATTTGAAACCTCAGTAAACTGAGATGAAACGCAGGATGCTGCTGACGGGCCTTCAGGGGATCCTGAGGAAAACATTTGCTTTTATACGGACATTTTTCTGTCATAAGGGACGTTGTGTTTGCACAGATAATCCTCAGGCTGTTCTGAACAAATTCACTCTATTTCACGCCCCTGGAGACCCAGAGGGCTCGGCTTCAATGGCCGTTTTTCCAATGCTGAACATTTATATTGAGCATAAGCAGTGATGCTGTAGATTTGATCTACAGCATCATCTAAAACTGCCCCCATTTAAACTCGGGGGTCTTCTGAGGTCAATTGGTTGACATGCATCTCATCCACTGTGTCGCCGTCAGTAACTAGCACTGCTCTGGTTGTGCTAACAGCCGTGACGCGCAGGATGGAGGCTTTGTGCTCAGCTCTGTCTGAACCACCCAACCGGAGACCCCCGATTCCACGCTGGGTATTCATGTTGGCCGGACCCGGACGCGCCGGAGCAGTTCCCCAGAGCCAGTTTTAATGTTTTTTATTTGGGAGGGTCTATCTGCTTTTTCTTACACAAACATCTCCACCTTCTTTTTCTCATTTCTTTGTTTCTTCACAGGAGGCGATCTCCATGTTTAAAGAAGCGATACAGAAAATGCCAAGACAGTTTGCACCGCAGAGCCTCTACAACATGCTGGGTGAGTGCTGCTTTTGTTTCAGCATCATGACAATAAAACAGTATTACTGTTCCTTTAAACAGTGTGAGAAAGCCCACATTATGGTAATTCACTGTTTGGGTTGATACCTGTGAACCTGCATTAACACTCTGCATCCCTGAGTGCAATGGACAAGCGAAACAGGATATTTAGCAGAATAATGTTGAAATGCTGACACAGTTTTCATTGGAGCTAATGCTAAAGTGCTACATTGATAGAGTATATTTGGATCTAATGCTAAACACAATATTAGTTCAGTGGAAACTAATGCTGAATGCTATACTAACATGGTATTTAGCAGAAGCCAAGAAAAACCCAGAAAAGAAGAAATATTCAGATAGGTCAATAACTGCCTTTCAAAATAAAATCAAAGTTCTCCAATCTCACATTGTGAAATGAGACGTTTGACCTGAACGGGGTTTTCTGACAGAAAGGCCTGTTTTAACAAGGCAGTAATAGATTTTTGTTAACATGTTGAACAGATTTAATCTGCAGCTCTGGTTGTTGGACTGCAGATGTACACCAGCTGTTCTCATTCTTCTGCTCTTGATTTCATTATCTTTCCTCTAATCTTCCCACTTCTTCCTTTCAAACCTTTGCTGTTTAATGTTTACACAGAGAGACAAACAGTTGAAACCTGGGATGTCTGTAATCCAGACCTGGTAATGCCCGGGGCTTGTTTGTGTGTTGGCAGAATACAATATGACAGATCTCTGGAGATTATGTCAAAACGTTGATTAAAGCTCCCGGCACCATTAAGGGGCAACACAGCATTTCAAATGGAGGCACTGGGCCGGAGATCTGTGATTTCTGCTGCTTAGCGCCGCTTCCTCGCTGAACTGATTTGCACATTTGGCTCTGGTGCTCATATCTGTTTCCAGTTTCGCTCACTTTGCTCCTCTCACGCTGTTTGTCAGACGCCAACGAGCAGCAGCTTTCATCAGAGGCAGACCTGGGTGGTAATCTGCACCCTGCTGGTCTCCCTCCAACGCTCTCTGGTGGGCTCAGGAATGCTGCTCACTCTCAGCTCCTTGGACTCAGTGTCACTTCTAATTGCATGTTAGTTTTTGTGCTTATCTCAGACACAGAACCTCTGCCAGGGAGCAGACACATCAATAAAACAGGAGGTCAGAGATAAAAACCTGCAAATAACAGAATCCAGATAAACCTCTCTGTACAGACACTCAGATTAGGTTAAAGTTACAGCAATAATTATTTATTGGAGTAACCGCAGGGCTCCCTTATTGAATCCAAAATGTGGTCAAGGACTCGGGTTGAGTTTCAAAACTTGCATAGTAGAATAGGAATATGAAAAAGAAATGACAGAATGGAAACCTTGAGGTTTCTGAAGAAACCGTTTGTCTCCTATAAATCAGTTTCTCAGCAACCGCATTCATGACAATGTAACATAAATAATGGATCTTCAACCTGATAAAAACAAGGCTGAATAGGCCATATTCTTAATGTCCCAATTCCAACCCGCTGTAAATGTATATGAATTAATGAATCATTTAAATCAGCAGGTTTTTACACACTGCCTTACAGGCTGTATGTAGCTTTATTCAATTCTATTCAGTTTATTTTATTTCTTTACAGCCATTTTACAAAGTCAGTTCAATCACACACACTTTCAGTTCATTATTAAAATTATCTTAAAAATGTTCTGTCCAAGGAAACTCAGCAGCTCAGAATTCATGACTGACATGCATGTGGCAACAGTGGGAGGAAAAACTTTCCGTTAACAGGAAAAAAACCTGATATCTGATCCGGAACGTTTCAAACAGTTATTCAGGCTTTTATCTAATATCAGAACTTTATGTATTTATATTTCTGTATTTGGACATGGCTGATTCAAACTTCATCACACAAAAACAGAAATGCAACAGAAAAACGCTGCAAATAAAAACTGTTTGAGTCACAAAACGTAGAACCAAACACCTGCAATTAACAAAACAAATGTGACCAAAAATCAGCAAACACAGCTGATGAGAAAAGGTTGCAAACTGCAAAAACAACTACATGGATAAAATGTTGCCAACTCGCTACATAATGAGGAAGTCCTCCAGGCCACTAGGGGGAGTCTGTAATCAGTAATATTAGCTAAGTTAAGACGCTCTTCCTTCAGTGAGTTTGCAGCTTTTCATTTTGGCTTTTCATTTTTATGAATTATGGCATTTGTCCTCTTGCTCCTGTTTCCTGTTGCAGAATTCTGTTTGTGGTTGCATCATTTTCCATTTGCTTTTGTTTTGTTAGTTGTATGTTTTGTTTTTATTTTCTGGGATTGCAGTATTTTTTGGTTGCAGTGTTTTTCCGTTGTGCGTTTTGAAGCATCCGGCTCTTGCAGCCCCTTGTTGCCTCTTGCACCTGTTGGCCACCGTTTGAGGACTGTCACCAGAAGAAGAGCAGGAAGCAGTTTGGTGTCTTGGTCTGTGACTCTGTGACCCCTGATCTGACCTTTTGGCCCGCAGGTGAAGCCTACATGCGCCTGAACAAGCTCCCTGAAGCCGAGCACTGGTACAGGGAGTCGCTGAGAGCCAAGCCGGACCACATTCCTGCTCACCTCACCTACGGAAAACTCCTGGCCATCACAGTAAGACCATATTTGAAGCATTTTGCACTAACATAAGTAATCTGGATCAAACTCAGCTTACAGGACATTCTCTGTTTTAGTTTTAGCTCATTAGCTCTTATTTCACAGTCATGTTTCTTTGGGAGGTTTTTTCCATCACAATGTTGATACTGGTGGAATGAAGCTGCGATCCTCCAGATCTACTGTCCTGTGATTTTTCCACTTGTTTCTTCTCCAACATGCCAACCTTTCATTCACCCTGCAGAGCTGAATGAAAGGGGATTCACTGCTGCTGCAGCCGAACCGGTTTGGGTTTCACCTCAGCATTGAAACCTTCTTTCAGTGAAAACTCATTCATGTTGTATCTTTGAAGAAACAGAAAGCCAACTTCCTAAAACATAGTGAAAAATAAAAGGTAGTCTCTTGGCTTCTTTCTGCATCTCAATGAGAGGAAAGTTTCCAAAGATTTTACTTTTATTGAGTCTCTCACTGTCTGGCCCTAAAGACGTGAATCAAGACTTTGTTTCTGTTCCTACTGAAAACTTCCAACCTGAACAGAAGATGAAATTTTCTCCTTCTTACTTATTATGCTGCTTCTTAGAAGCAGCCTGTAGGGAAGGAGGATGAAAATAAAATAAAATCAGTTTTCAGTATTGATCACTGATCAGCTATCAAGTGTTTGATTGGTGCATCTCCAGCTTTCTCCTTATTATTATTTCTTGTCCTTCCTCACTTATCAGTCTTGGAATCTTGCAGGAAATATTTGTTCAATAACCAAAACCTAATTTTTTCTCTGAAAAACCTAAAGTAAATCTCAATGCTGGTTTCTCTGCTGTTAAATTAAGAGGAAAAGTTAAGCTCTGTTTGTAATTAACTTTAACCTCTAGATCCATATTCATCGCACTGTGGGGTCGGCTGATACATCCATGCAGAAACTGAGGAGTAAAACCTCATGCTGGTCGTTCAGAGGTTCTGTTCATTTCAACAGATCCAGAAAAGCAAAGCAAAACCAACAATTCCATTTACATTTACATCATTGTAATAGCAAAAGAAAAAAGTTTTAATCTGAATATAAACCCTTTTGTTGCTTAAATAACCTGCATAATGAGTTTAAATTGGGTTTTGAGCATCAGGCTGGATGAGTTTTCTGTTTCTAACAGAGGAGCCAGCATTCGCTGTGTGAGCTGCTTTGAGGTGAGAACAGAGTTCAGATCTTCAGGACGATCATCTGAACCGTGTCTGGATGCCGCTGCTGCTCCTGCCTGCATGCAGCTCCTGCCTGCATGCAGCTCCTGATTGCGGCCTGTAGCTGCCGCGTCGCATGTCAGCAGTGTTTAAAATGATCAAACGCAGAGCAGGAAGTGGTCCGACCTGCAGCTCTCAGGCTTTGCTCCCTGTGGAACAACTCTTCATGATGAAGACACTTCAGATGCTGGCCGGGTTTCAGGTTCACTTCCCCACAAGCTGCAGGGAGGCTGCAGGATGACGCTCTGCTGCAGGGTCACACAGAGGTCACACAGGGGTCACAAAGAGGTCACACAGGGGTCACACAGGAGTCACACAGGGGTCGGGTGAGGATGGTGGCACTGAGCTGGTCGCTGACATCTGAAGCGATGAAGAAGTTAATTATGAAGAGCAGTTCTGGGTTTCAGGTCATGACGGCGGCGCCTGCTGGGATGCATGTTGTCATTTTTCCGTCATTTTCCGTCACTTCCTCTGCGAAGACGAAGCAGACATCAGAGTCGGAGCTGCAGCTGCAGCTCGTCTGCAGTCAGGGATGTGAGGTGTGAGGAGTCTGCAGTGAACTTGGCTTGTCTGGAGCCAGAGGAAGAGCGCACACAGCTGCTTTTCTCATTCGTCTTTTCAACCCCCTCTTGGCTTCATTATGCTTTCGATTTTCTCTCACAACAAGAGGAACAGAAGCTAACAGCGGACTCATCTCGGAACATTTATTTGCAAAAGTTTCTCTGCGTTTTCCTACCTCTGAGGACGTTGTTCTGTTTTTCTAAGCCTGTTCTCATTCATGCTTTTGGGCCTTAAAGGCACCCATCCCTCCATCCAGACCAGAACAAAAATGCACAGATGTGATACTGCTCAGTCGTGAACTTTGACCCAGACTCGTATGCCACCAGTTCAGCCTCCTCTGGTAAACATGTAGCTGATTTTCAGATTTTTACAGCAAAAGATGTAGTTTTTAAATGGAGCGTAACTCACTGTATGAAACTTTGAATTTGATTAATTGCAGGATCTGTAATTAAAAGCTATCGACAAATTAAGCAGCATTTTCTTAATGGTGAACCAGAAACAGATGAAAGCAAAGTTTCCAATGGAGACTTGAACCAGCATGAACTCATTTTCCATCCACACAGTCAAATTATGGAAACATGATTCATGAACTCAAGTGTTCAAAGTGTATCTTGTCCTAAAGTTCATAGGTATGTTTGTTTTATTAATGCATTCTCATTGGTTGATTTCTGCACATGTAACTTCACTCACAGCCAGAACTCAGTGTTGCAGTCTGTTCAGTCCGCCTTAATCCAACTCCAGTCTGCCTTAAACCAACTCCAGTCTGCCTTGATTCAACTCCAGTCCGCCTTAAACCAACTCCAGTCCGCCTTAAACCAACTCCAGTCCGCCTTAAACCAACTCCAGTCTGCCTTAAACCAACTCCAGTCCGCCTTAAACCAACTCCAGTCTGCCTTAAACCAACTCCAGTCTGCCTTAAACCAACTCCAGTCCGCCTTAAACCAACTCCAGTCCGCCTTAAACCAACTCCAGTCCGCCTTAAACCAACTCCAGTCCGCCTTAAACCAACTCCAGTCCGCCTTAAACCAGTCTGCCCTCCTGCCTTAATCAGGCCAGGAGGGCAACAGGTTGGTTTGACTCTGAGCAGAGTGAAAGGGAACCACAGCAGCTGGATGGAGCACATGCTGCTGTTTTTGTCTCTAGTTGAATTGAGTCTACTGGGCTTTCAGGTGTTAAACATCCTCAGATTTTCTGCCTGCTCTGGTCAGGCTGAGCTGTGATTGGTTCCTTGTTCCAGCCTGCAGAGAGTAAAGGAGCTCTGTGCATCTGAAGAGTTTCAAACCGGCTGTTCCAACCCGGCCAGCCTCCTGTATCGATTCTCTCGTCTCTCTGAAGGCCGGAGTAACCGGCCTTCAGAGTTTGTTCCATTGAATAAAACTTATAAATATGCGACTCTGCAAGTCCCTGCAGACCCATAAGGTTCTCTGTGGCTGCGCTCACACACTTTCCACACACTGTCCTGTTTCATCAGGCACACACACATGCTGGCCTCCGGTGCTTCTGCTCTGGAAGTGTTTCTCGCTCAGATTAAAGCGGATATGAAGGAGCCTTCTCTGGGCCAAACATGACACCGTGCACTTTTGACGGATGACACGTGAGGAGGAGAGAATAACACTTGTGGTTCCCATGTTTCATGTCCGTTTATTGGGATTTATTGTTGCAGCAGTCTGTGGTTGAGGTGGGGGCATTCGGTTCATGCAGAGGTATCTGGGCTGCAGAGCAGACCTTGGTGTTTTCATAATGAGCACTTTGAGAAGTGGGTGCAGAAATAATGACGCTGTTTCTAATCCTTCTCTCTCAGGGGCAGAAAACAGAAGCTGAGCGCTACTTCCTGAAGGCCATCCAGCTGGATCCCGCTAAGGGCAACTGCTACATGCATTACGGTGAAATTTCTGTTTTTATTTTAAATTGACACATCCTGACTTCTCATTCAGTTATTTGATTTGGCTTTTAAGACGTTCTGGACAAAGGCAGGAATTTATACATTTTGGACGCCTGCTTGGACAAGTGTTTGTTGACCCTTTTGTCACGTCTTCCTCCAAACATCAAGAATCTCTTTCTGTGTGGTTCGAGAGCTTTATGAGGACTGAGGATGATTTCCTCTCATTGTTCACTTCGGTTTGATGCGGACTTGGAACGTGACGATTTCAGCGTCTCTCTTGTCTTCCATCATTTTCAAATCTCTTAAAAACATTCAATTTGATTATCAAATTAATTAAATCATATTTTTCTCTAAAGATGTCAGCGGACTGCCATTGCAAGAGGCTTTTATTACAAAATATAAGTAAATTATATGAATGAAGATGTTATAGGACAGGGATTTTCAAACTGAAGACTCTAGTGGACCTCAGAAAGCTGCAGGGAAGATCAGAAAAAGATATAAAAAGTTCAATAAATAAATAAAAGTTATTTTTTACCGATGCTGGTGAAATGATCCCATCAGAGAAACTTTCACCAAACATCCACTGATCTATCAGGTCAGATAATCTGCACTGACCAGACAGGGATGGTTTGTAAAGATCCTATCTGGTGTTTCAGCCTGAGCCAAAGGAAACGGCGTTGCACCGCGTCCCTCTTCAGGACGATCTGCTCCTGTTTTAACACGACTGCTGTTTTCTCCTGCAGGTCAGTTTTTACTGGAAGAGTCTCGGCTCCTGGAAGCAGCGGAGATGGCGAAGACGGCCGCCCGCCTCGACGGTGGGGAGTTTGATGTGGTGTTCAGCGCCGCTCACATGCTCAGGTAAGGCCTTCAACACAGACCTCTCTGTCTTATTTTTAGTTTCCGCAGTCTAGGTGCACGCAGATGCTGCACGGTATTTCAGAACGGTTTTCCTTGGCTGGGCTGAAAGCAGTGGGTCTGCACGCTTTATCTGCCTGCTTGATTTTCTTGGCTGGAGGTTGTAATCCCTCTCTCTCTGAACGGTGGAAGAATCCAGAACTGAAGCTTTAACTCATCGCAGCGAGAGATGTTCAAACTTCAGCTGTCTCTGGATCTGAGTCTCGCTTGGAAGTGTGTTTGTTTGATGAGGCTGAGCAGAAAAGCCAGAGAGTCGGTGAACATGAGTCATGATTGGAAAAAGTGTTGATGCTGAATACAACTTCAACCAGCGGCGACGTCTTAGTTAAAACTTCTCATACATCATCGTTGGGATTTTGCAGGATCTGCACCGCGAACAGACTTCAGCGTAAAGACCTCTGGAAGAGTTTCTCAGGCAATGCTTGGGTTGAACTCATCTCCGTCTGCTTGGCATGGGGTCCTGCTCCTCTGCAGCTCAGCCTCTTTATGTGTTTGTGTTGGACACGGCCGTGGAAAGACTACTTGATGCAGACAGAAGTGAATCTGTGCAGGAGAAGAGAAGAGATCACAAGGAGAAGCAGACACTTACCAGTGTGTAAATGTTGTTTATGGCTCTCTGGGGGTTTTGGGTCGTCAGCATTTGGATTCTCAACTAATAATTCCCGCTTGCCTACTTTAGCGCATTGCTGAAAATGTGACTGCAGTAATGCCAGGAAAAATGCTTTAATTTTTAAGGTTTTTGCCATTTTTCCCAAGTTATGACAAATATTCAAAACCATTTCATGGTTAGCATTTGGGTCAAGCCAAATATTACAAAGCAGTTCTCTTTTTAATTCAGAATAAAACAAAAACTTTTTCTTTTTGTTAGCATGTAGCTCTTCTTTGAGGCAGTTTTTCTCTCAGGTGGTTGAATCAGCTGTTCTCTACGTCAAACCTCCACTTCCTTTAAATCTTGAGCTGGTCTTTGGAAATCCAAACAAAGCTGCTTCAAAAAGAGTCTGACTGTGAGTTGACAGTCGGTGACCAAAAGTTCAACACAGATGTCAAAATCTATTGAACAGAAAGTTTACAAAACAGCCAAATATTTGAGAATTTATCTGAATTTATCTGAAGACATTCATATAGGAGAAGCTGAGTGCGCTAAGAGTTTTACAATTAGCAAAAATGTGCTAAATGAATAATTAACTGTGATTTTAGCACATTAGTGGATTACCAGAAATTTTCCCAGCACTATTAATTTCCATGTTCAAAGTGAAGACATTAAATTAAAACCACAAGAAAGCTGATTGGTTATGAACTGCCAGGATTTAAGGAGTCTGACTCTGACCTGAATCCTCACTGATTGGCTGTCAGACGTCCTAAATGAAGCTGTGGATCCAGACGGCCGCCAGCGTTGATCCAGGTGATATCAGGCGCTGCTCGCTCAGCCGTCCAGCCGCTGTCCTTGACTTGGTCAGAGGGAAATTATTTGCTGCCATTCGGGAAAAACCTGCAGCTGTGGAGGCTGGATCTGGTTCTGAGAGAGCAGAGCATTAGTGTTGCTGCTGTTTGAGACTTTAAATAAAACACATTATTTATGTCTGGACTGCAGATCTCATCTCAGGTGTCGCATTTTTAGGTAAAGCGACTTTTCCTCAAATCCTGTTTGTCACAGTGAAATGAGACGTTTCATTTGTATCCGTATCATTTATTCGTTTTAATCTCATGACAAGATAATCATATTTTTTTTTGTCAATATGTTTGAATATATGGAACTGCAACACAAACCGACTACTTATGACTCAGATTGTGTTTATTTGTAGCCACCAGCTGCTTCCACCATCATAGCTAAACATTTCCCTGTTAAAATACCTTTTTATTGATCTGATGTGATAGTAAAATCTTTGAAAACTCTGAATTTGAGATTTTTTATCCAAATGAACTGAAATATGCTGGAAATCCATCATAATATGCTTTTATGTCTTTGAAGTGAATTTCTCTGAAATATCATCCAGTGAACCAAACATCCCAAATCCACTAGAGGTGAATGATTGGACTGGACTAAAACTCCTCAAGTAATAAACCCTCAAGCCATAATAAGTAAATCTGATTTCCATCCTCAAACAGAGTCGAGTGATTTGCAGGTTTCAGCAGAAAGCAGAAAGTTCTCGTAGCGTTTCTTCATGCAGTTCATCCATGTTATTTTCTCAGTGACCCCTGGGAACCAGTAAACACTCCGGGTTCAAGGCCTGGGCCAAAGCCAGCAGCAATAAAAGTGACTAACGATCGCCTCTCCCTGTTTCTCCCTCTTCAGACAAGCCAAGCTCAACGAAGCAGCCGAGAAGTATTACGGACAAGCAGCGAGCCTGAGACCCAACGTGAGTACAACCTTGACTCGCTATTCCTCCTCATTACCTTTTACTGTGATGGACGCGCTGCAATTACGGTCAGACTGACTTTCCAATTTCATTACTGGCCGTTCTGCCCAAACAACAGGATTCATTGTCAGTCCTGCTCAGAATAATGAGTTCTTGGGTTTTCCTGAGCTCAGAGGTTTGCTTGTGCAACATCCATCAACAAGTTCAAAGGAGGAGCCGTGGTAAGCGGATTGGGAAGAATAATGATATGAACACCGAGCCGGAGGACGGGGATCCTGAAGCGAGTCCTGACGGGACAGGTCCGCTTGTTTGGGGGGGGGGTCATCCTGTTTGTTCCCCGGCGCTGATTGGAAACAGACAGCTGTGGATTAATGACCAAATACATCTTTGCATTGTTTTACAGAAATCATAGTTTGGCCTTTTCTGCACACAAACCCGAATAAAATATGAAGAAATGCTGTCAAACAAGAGCAGGCAGGACTTCTCAGAGGTCATGAGGTTCAGATCTGAGTAGGTTTGGTGGTAAAAAGGTGAAGTCAAATTTCTCTCCAAACATCTAATTAAAACCCAGAGAGCAAACGAGAGAAATCTGCCTCATCCTGAACCTGCAAGAATTCAGCTGCAAAACTTTTACAATGTTTTGATGTTTATGGAAAAAAACTATAAAGCATCAGGATCCCAACGTGAGGATGTGACATCCTGTTGTGTCTGTAGATGCAATTATGAATAAAAGAAAACTAGGAAAGCTCCTAAAACTTGCATTTATCAGATGCCATTAGTAATTTTCAGCAAAAGTCAATAAGAACAACTGGAAGGTCCAAAGATCCTCATGTGGCTCAAAAGCTGCAGGGGGAAGTTTGGTCAGTAAAATGTCAGTAATAATGACTGAGAATCCAAAATAGGCAGATCTTTTCTAAAAATAAAGATTTAGAAGGATTCAACCCGTATGGAAAAAAATTGTTTATTAGTTTGAAACTGGAAAATGGAGGAGATTTCCTGTTTGACGTAGTTTATAGAGAATCCAGAGAATTCCCTTGATGCAGAGGATCGGAGCAGAACAGGATCTCCAGGCTGTTAAAAACAGACGCGGTTCTGTTGTGAAAGTCGCTGCATGAGTCAGGAACGTTTCAGTTCTCCATATCAAAACAAGATGCGGTTATGGCTCCGCCTACTGCTGGCTCAGCCTCAGCTCCAGAAGTGGAAACAGACTGTTGATCTGCAAAACAACAGGATCTGTGATTTTTAATCATGTCATTGATTATTTATTCAGTTTGTTGTCACCCAACACATGAAGTATCCATGATGGTTTAAAGTTTTGTTAACTGAGTGAAAAACAGGCAACTGGCAGGATTCGCCGCATTATGAGATGATTATGAAAATGTTTATGTGGCTCTCAGAAACACAAACTGAGAAGAGAAGGTGAATCACTCTCTGAACAACATGATGCGATTTTCACCATTTGGTTCTTATTTCCTATCAACGAGTCGACTTCAGCTCTTTGGATGTGAGAAGCTTCAGTAATTAGTTTTCCTAATTGTGATCAGAGCTAACAACATCAACTAGAGCTAACACTTATAGCTAGTGCTAACACCATCAACTAGAGCTAACACTTATAGCTAGTGCTAACACCATCAACTAGAGCTAACACTTATAGCTAGTGCTAACACCATCAACTAGAGCTAACACTTATAGCTAGTGCTAACACCATCAACTAGAGCTAACACTTATAGCTAGTGCTAACACCATCAACTAGAGCTAACACTTATAGCTAGTGCTAACACCATCAACTAGTGATAACACCATCAACTAGAGCTAACACTTATAGCTAGAGCTAACACCTGTAGCTAGTGCTAACACCTATAGCTAGTGCTAACACCATCAACTAGTGATAACACCATCAACTAGAGCTAACACTTATAGCTAGTGCCAGCACCATCAACTAGAGCTAACACTTATAGCTAGAGCTAACACCTGTAGCTAGTGCTAACACCTATAGCTAGTGCTAACACCTATAGCTAGAGCTAACACCATCAACTAGAGCTAACACTTATAGCTAGTGCTAACACCATCAACTAGAGCTAACACTTATAGCTAGTGCTAACACCATTAGCAGTAGCAAATGCTAAAACAAATGAGAAGATAATGAATGGATGCTTAAAGTGAGTCTTTGTAACAAACCATTGTAATATATTTGATCAAATGTTTTGATCCTATCTTTAAGCATTGTTACCATAACCGGCGTTATGCAGCATCCTGTGTTTTATTTCAAGTAATAAAAACTAAACATCCTGTTGAATGTGTCTCAGATTAAGATGGTTGTTGAACTGACAGTGAATCCCTTTGTAGTCGTGACAATTTTGCTAATTGTGATCAAATGATGAAATCTGAACTGTCAGATGTGGGAAGGTGTTACCAAACTTTTTTATTACGGCTTCACATCTTCCTACACAACTGCAGCAGAAGGAAGATCCATGGAATAATTCACTCAGCTCTTAATCAGCGCAGCTGCTTTGCATTAATCATGTTGCATATGCGCGCTGTCAGGCTGAGAGAACCATTCCCAACCAAGTCCTTCAGCAGGAGATAAATCCAGTCTGATTCTCGGTCAGAACCATCTGGTCTCTGCAACCTGCAGCCTTTTTCCTTCTTATGCCTTCAAATTCTTTCTAAAGTCATGAAGGTCAAGTGTCTCCTCAGTCAGTTTGCCATGTGCTCGGCCGTGCTCTCCTGCTCTGTGCCCTGACAGGCTGCAGTACAGGAGGAAATGAGGGGATGAAGAGAAATAAAGGCTTTTGAAAACAGCAACATTCTGCAGATTCTGGAGGAGCCAGAAATAAAGGATATGAGTAAGAAAAAAAAAAATGTCTCAGATATGTGAAGAAAGGCAGAAGATTGTTGTAGACATGAAGGATTTATAGAATTCAAATTAACTTGGTTTTGCAAATATTTTAAAATCTTTTTCCTCAAATATTGTTTATTTTGTTTATCGTTTTAAAGATTCGAACACAAGTAGATTTTACTTGTTATGCTTCTCTTTAAACTTCTATCTTTATTTAATTCACAGTCAATGTGAATCTTCGCTGTTTCCTCTGGTTTCACTTCAGATTCATTTGAGGTTTTAAACAAGAAAATGAAAACATTTTGAATTGAGTTCAATATAAGAAGATAAGCATTTGTATTTGTTCAGTGATCCTTTTCTTCTCAGCCTGAAGCGAGACTTTAACTTACGCCTGGCCGTATTGAGGCCAGGCAGGTTATTATTTTACCATTTTGTTGTCCAGTCAGGGCTTTTGACTCTCCACATGCACCCAGATTTATGATTAATGCGCCATTTAAACCCATTCAGCTCACAAACTCACGATAAAATGCGACTGCACTTTGAATCTATTAAAGTTATAGTTGTATAATAAACACCCAATTGTCACCTGGAGATGTTGGATGCAGTGCTTGTGTGAGGTCTGTTCATTACTAAATCATGTCCATGTGTATAAACAATCCAACTCAAAGCATTATTTTGTGGTGCAGCCCTAAAGCGGTGAGGTCAAGCTGAAGGTAATTTATTTCTCAAACAGCCTCAGAATCAGAGCAGCCGTTCCGTCGCAAAACTGCAGCTGCTTCTGCAGCGCCAAGGAGCGGCAGGAGATTCAGGATCCTGCAGGAACGGCAGGAGATTCAAGATCCTGCAGGAACGGCAGGAGATTCAGGATCCTGCAGGAACGGCCTGATGTGAGATCGCTCACATCAGGCCACAGGGAAACCTGTAACAACAAAGTTTATCTTATTTGTTAGTTTGATTCTGAACTAGGAAAAGAGAATATATTATTCCTTTTAATTTTCCAATCATAAAGTCTCCCCTCATCTCAGTTTTGTTCATTTCTGAGAGGTGGAAATGTCATAACCTAAATTTGACATATTTCTGATTATTTTGCAAATTATTCCACTCATCCATGCAGACGAGGGTGTTGTGTATTTTCCTGGTACATTGTGACATTTTATAATACAATGTAACTATAACTGTTTCCATCAACAATTTTTTACTTTGAAGTATCGCGGGAGGAAAGATTGATGGAAATAGTAAAATTTGTGAAAACTTGAGAGAGATTTAAAGATTCCTCAGACATGCATGACCAAATCAAAGCAACACTGCAGGTAGTTTGTTGATGAGGGAATGAAGTTTAACATGATGTAAGGCTTTAAAAAGTTGGTTTACATCATTCTGACCCTTTTCTCATATTCTGTTACAATGACAATCTGTGTTTGAGTTTTTTCCCGATGATCTAAACAAAACATTCATCATTGTGACACGGAGAGGAAACTTGTTTGGTTTTAGGATTTTTTTTACCAAGAAATTCTGAAAAGTGTGGCATGTATTTATATTTACCCCTCGGAGTCCTTTATGACACATGCTTTGCTGCTGCTGTGTTTAGAGTTAAAGGTTTTCGTTTTTTTCTGCTACCTGAGCTGTAGCTCTCTGCAGCTCCTCCAGAGCTATCAGGATTCTCTGCTGTTTTTCTGGTTGTCGCTTCCTGTCAGTCCAGGTGGACGTCCATGTCCAGGTAGATCTGCATGTCTCCTCTGATGCTTGTTCTCTGACACCAGAACCAGAACAGCTGCACTCATTCAGAGATGAAATGAACCTCAGCAGATTAAAGAGCCGCCTCAGGATAGCTGCTCAATAATGACATAGAAAACATAGATTTCAAGGAACAAAATGATTTTTCTTCTATGAAATGCAGAAATGCTGATAAACTCAGCAGCAGACATGGAGTTTCTCTGCTGGATGAGGCATTTTTTCCACATCTCTAACCAAAATGGTGATCAGATGTTGCCCCTCCCTTGGCCTACATACTTCTTGGTCTTGACATGATTGCACCCGAGGCACTTTTCCTGTACTTATATCTCCATGATTAATCCGTCACACTGATTATGACTTTGCCCATTGGCACCAGCAGAAATAAACATCTCGAGCCACTTCAAAGCGGCGGCTGCTCCCTCTGACATCAATGGCCGCAGACCAGACGCAGGGACAGGCGGGGAGTCGCTCTCTCCAAACTGTTTGGCCCATCTGAAACGGGGCGCTCGTATCGCCCAGGCTCTGCTGTGATGACTCCACTACGACTAAAGAGCGTATCATGTAACACTTTGAATCGTCTTCAGGATCAGATGGTTGTAACAGAAGCTAAGATGACTGTGACAAAATTCTGCGTTTTTTTTTTTTTGGAGTTTTACTCCCTGCATGTCGTCACTCAGAGAAAAGACGAATAACCACAAATCATTCCCTGCTAAAATATTCAGTATGAGCAGACAGGCTGCATTATTCATCTGCATTGATGTGGTGAAATGTGAATTTCTGATCTCATTATGTCTCCAGTCTCATCAGCTGGAAGCTCCATTATGTGCTTTTAGCTGATCGGATCGATTCGTTTTCAGAATCCAGTCTTCTTTGGCAGAACTCAGTCAGGATCCAACATACTGAGTTAGTAATTAGAAAATCTTCCAAACGCTCAAATTTTTCAGGATTTTTCTACTCCTCTCTTAAAGGGACCCCACACAATTTCTGTCAAATTAAGTTTTTGACTTTTGTTTCCAGTGTCGGACACACAATCTACTGATCCACTGATCTGCTAATTTATTGTTTAATGCTTTTGTGTTTTTGAAGCAGACTTGGATCATCTTAAGTAAATGTTTCAGGATAAATTCTAGTTTGCTAATTTACTCAAGAGTTTGCTTATCTTATAGTTGAATAAAGTTTGACATCTGTGATAAAGTTTTAGTTGTTGACTATTAGAGGTGAACATTTATGCAGAATTTGTGTTTTGCATAAATGTGTTTTGCACATTTCTGGACAATTTAGGTCTCAACTGCTTCTCAAAACAAGCAAAGCATTGTTGTTGCTTGTGCTGGAGACTCCACTTCTACTTTTCAAAGATGTATGTTTATGTAATTGCACATCTGTTTGCAGCCATTTTTAAGTACAAATGTAAACAATGAGTTGGGGGGCGTGGCAACAGCAGCTTATTTGAATTTAAAGCGACAGAGGCGCTAAAACTCACTCTGTTGTTTCAGGCAAACTGAAATCTCATCATCTAAGTTTTTCTGCACGTTTTGTATAGTCCATAGATTTGTCCTAACCTGTTCAAGGCAGCATTGCAGAAAACTTCAAGTGGTTAGTAGCTGCTGTATCATTGAGCTAAATATGTCAGTGATAGCTGATCGGATCCTAAATGGTCCTTTATGTTTGCTTCAGTATCCTGCAGCTCTGATGAACCTCGGAGCGATTCTCCACCTCAACGGGAAACTGCAAGAAGCCGAAGCCAATTACCTCCGGGCTCTTCAGCTGAAACCAGATGACACCATCACCCAGTCCAATCTGCGTAAGCTTTGGAACATCATGGAGAAGCAGGGCCTGAGGACCACGAGTCCCTGAGATCTCCCCCCCGCCTGCACACCATCTGCGCTCCAGACCCGAGGAGACGGGCGGCCTGCGTGTCCTCGTTCTGTTTTCTCATCCAGGAGCGAAGGAAGAGACCGAGGGAGGACGTTTGGAGAGACACATTGTGCCGCACAGCCTCCCCCCACTAATCACCTCTGAGCTCTGCAAACACCTCAGGCCTGCAGCTTTGCTCAGGATTGCTTACAGTCAGGAAGGCCCTGCACGGTATCTGGATTCCTTTCTGCAGATTTTGTTTTTTATTCAAGAATATTTCAAATTAAAGTGAAGCCACAGGTTCATCGCTGCCGCAGAATGAGGTATGAAGAACACAGAGGAGCACTGAAGGACTTTCTGACACATTTTAGATTCACTTTGTGCTTTTTTTCTTGAAAATGAAGGAAAAGGTACAAATGAAGACCTGGACACAATTTAACTTCTTAAAATTTAATTTATAGTCTGCTTTTAAACTTTCTCATTTGGTCACTTTAATTTGAAATTGCACCACATATTGATTCCTAAAGTAGCAACTGTCCTGATATTCAGAGAAAAACATAAAAAGGGAACTCAGAGTAACTATTTCAGCACAATAAGAGTCTCTAAGGCCTCCAAAGGCCTGCAGTTAATCTGACTAATCTGTTTTAGCAAGCTTTGAAATCGTCTTCATTGTTTGGTATTTTTATTCTTCACTTCTAAATATTAAACTACCATCACCATTAAAAGCTGAAAGCTTCAGGTTGCAGAGGGAAAACCTTCCCAGGTACCAGGAAGCTGGAACCACAGAGTCCGAGCAGCCAAAAGGAAAATGCTAAGCTAGACTTTCATCCTTACATGGATCAACACAGTCAGCTCGTTGAAAGGGAAATGTTTAAATGCCTTTATGCTTAGGTAAAGTTATGTCAATGTGTTTGAATAAATATTAATATATAGCTGCCATGTTTTAGTACACAGAGCAACACAGCAAACTGTAGCTCCATAACTCAGTGAGTTTGTCTGGTTATGATTCGGTAAAAGGTTTTTTATCCTTATGGCTGTTCTTAGGTCTCATCTGTATATATTTTGTCTAGTTTTCATATATTTGGTTGTTTTTGTCAGTTTTTAGTAAAAGAGCACCTTCATTAAAGTATGTACAGTATTTGTTATAATGTGTTGGCCCCAGTAATATTCATAGAGTTATTGCTCTGTTACCTGTGATTAGTGATATTAGAACCAGTGGTGGGTTCGCTTGTTAGGAGCAAAGCTCATTTTTAGTTGAGCGTTTTAGCATTTTTGCTAAAACACTTTGAAGTCACGACGTTTCCCCTAAATGAATATTTTCAGAAACATTCTGAAGCACTAATTTAGTCGCCTGGTTTTGAAACTTTCAGTTAAATAAAGTTCATCGTCTGAGTTGAACTTTTTATTATCGACTGTCAAAAATTCTTCAAGTAGTCAGACATTCCTCTTCTTGCTCTTATTTTGAAGACTGTTCCACTTCCTGTCCTCAATAATTTTTCTCAAAACACTAAAATATAAAATTCAGAGCAGTAATTAATATACATTTAACCAGGTGAATAGAATCTACTGACGATTATTTACTTAATTGTCTTAAATAAGTTTCCAGTGTTTTTATATCCACTTATGTTCTTCTCTCACTGCAGCAAATGATGTCCATTCTTTACCCAGAATGCATTGCTGTAGATCTACAGTAAACAGTTTAAAATGTCCAGTGTTTTCTGGACCTTTAGCCAAAATTAGAGTTAGCAAAACTCAACAACTATGACACTGAAGCCATGAGTGAAAATAAAAAAGCAAACTGTACGGTGTGCAATGACAGACTTCACCCTATTGAGGGCGACATACTGAGCTGTAACATGCTGTGACATTGACACATGTTGGGTACCATCATGGTTGAATTTAGCGCTTAAGCATTAGCTTTAGTTCAATGCTATGTCGGTGTAGCAAGTTAGCAGAACTAATATTCATGATCAGAGCTTTGCGGTCAGTGCAGCTCATGGTTTTAGTTAGCAGTGCCCACCACTGTCCAGAGCTAAACCCAGGTACCAGATCTGACTCCTCCAGATCTGACTCCAGATCTGACACCAGATCTGACTCCTCCAGATCTGGAGTCCAGATCTGGACAAATAACTGTTATCTTTGTCCAGATAAACAGTTATCTGGACAAAGATAACTGTTTGTCCAGTTATCTTTCAGACAAAGATAACTGGACAAACTCCAGATCTGACTCCAGATCTGACTCCAGATCTGACTCCTCCAGATCTGACTCCAGATCTGACTCCAGATCTGACTCCAGATAGAGGCGTTGTTAATTGATCGGGATCATGACCTCACATACTTTGTGTGTCTCTTCATCCAGCTGGACCATCGGTGGGCGTGGCGCGGCGTTTTGTGCTGTCAGTTTTTAATCTATTGTCATGTTTATTGCAAGACTATTATATAACACATTTCTTTGTGATCTAGCGGGTCTGGGTTTCCCCATAGAGTCCCTCTTTATGAGGGTGATTAGAGTTTGCTGGGGGCAGCAGCTTCCAGTCCGTCTGTTTGAAATAGACAGGCTGGAAGCTGAATGTTTGTTCTCATTTGTCCCCACAAAGCAGCTGAATCACTTAAATGTTCAGAGTTTATAAAGCACAAAAACAACTGGAACAAGATTAAATATGTCACAAAGTGAATTAAGAAATCTTTATCAAACTGAGAATAAACATGCTTGTGTGTTTTTTATTTTACTGCACTTTAAGGCTCATACAGTGCTCTGAAAAGGTGTTTCCTTCAATGATTTCTGTAGTTTTTTTTTAGATTTACTTTCACTTAAATGTTTCAGAATTAAACAGATGATCTTTCTTTCAGACAAAGATAACTGGACAAACATAAATACAGTACAACTAAAATGATGATTTCACTCTGGTCTGCTATTTTGTAATTTGCAGGTAGCAGAGATTTGACTAGCTTGTTATGTAAAAACCTTTTACTGCCAAATTGATTAACAGATGTCAAGAACAGATGACTTAAACATCCAGCCTTTCATGCTGGAGTCAGGAAATGTTGCCACATAATGAAGGAACACATGTTGTAACCAAGGCACAGTTAGTTAACCAATGTTGGCATCAAGAATGTCACTGAATGCGTTTGCATCATGAGTTCCCCAAGACAAAATCTGCAAAACAAAGGAAATCCATCAGCTTGTTTAGCAGTTCAACAGCAAATACTTTATAAACAGAATATAATGGTAGCTATGCAGCACCAGATCCAACTTTTCTACACAACAAATGTTTTTAAGAGATAAAAAAGTAGCTTTTGCTTTTCTCCCATTTAATATACTGTGCTATGATAAACATTCGGTTCATACTCAAAAACCCTTCAATATGGCTGAAATGACAATTTTTCAGAGTGATTCAAAATTCCTCCCAGACTCATTTCCACATAACCTTTAAATGTCTTCATTATTTCAACTTTCTGGTTTTTGCATGTGTTCAGGTCGTCTGTGTTGATTTTAACATTTGTTTGATATTCTGAAACACCAAACATGACAGAACCTGAAAGAGAAACTTTTTTATAGCACTGTGATTCTCATGAAGGGTCCAACTGGGACGATTCTGATCCCAACTGTTAACAGAACCAGCTGGAACTGTGTTGTTTTTTTCACATGTAAAATGAAGGAAGGTCATTGCATGGAGCTTCTGCGTGTTTCTAGTCGTTACTTAAGACAATTCACAAAGTCGGCTAATGCAGCTATTCACACAACAGCTGCTGCAGGAGACGTGCTGTGATATGAAGCGTCGCATTGTCGTCTGCACGGTGCTGTTCCTTTACTGTGACGGCGGTAAGGAAATGTTAAAGAGTCCACATTGATTTCCTGCCTCCCTCACACATCCACATGCCCATTCCTGGTGTAATATTTAAAGTGTTGATGAGGAAACAAGATTGTTAATGTCTGTAAGAAGGTGTGAAAAGAAAAAGTGTTTTCACTCTGTGGCTCTGCTCAGGGATCTCAAGCAGTGGGCTATTGCAGAAACTTGTTCACAGAGAATTTACTAAATTAAAATTTATTTTGAAATGTGTTGCATTTGTATAAATTATCAGGATTTGTAGCCCTGTTCTCCTTTTTTGTAAAATAAAAACTGAACAATGTGCAAGAAGTTTTTTGGTCTTGTTTTTTCCAGTATATGTGATGGTTCTCCCAGTACATGTGATGGTTCTCCCAGTACATGTGATGGTTCTCCCAGTACATGTGATGGTTCTCCCAGTACATGTGATGGTTCTCCCAGTACATGTGATGGTTCTCCCAGTACATGTTATGGTTCTCCCAGTACATGTGATGGTTCTCCCAGTACATGTGATGGTTCTCCCAGTACATGTTATGGTTCTCCCCAGTACATGTGATGGTTCTCCCAGTACATGTGATGGTTCTCCCAGTACATGTGATGGTTCTCCCAGTACATGTGATGGTTCTCCCAGTACATGTGATGGTTCTCCCAGTACATGTGATGGTTCTACTCTCTGGTTTGGATAATAAAACCAAACTAATAAGTTCTAATAAGTCCAGTTCACTGTATGTGTGTGTTGGGGTCCCTTGATAAGATCGTTTTTATCAAAATAAAATCTTTCTGCCAGGTTTTTACTGCACAGCTTCATTGAGGTGTTTTTCTTGATTCCTGTGGATATTAGAGTAAATGTGCTGCTCTGCAGTGGAGCAGCTTTACAGGCCATTATAAAGCCCTCCCCTCACAAATTTGCTAAAATGTGTCATAAAATCGTCTTCGCTGCATCTCTGTCGCGCTTTGATCTTTCAACAACAAAGCCGACATGTAAATGATCCCATATGGAAAGGGGCAGCAGTGTGAACACATGGCGGCAGAGCGCCGCTTCCAGCCGCCCCCCGCTGACCCGCACCGGGCCGTCCTGTGAACAAAAGTCTCACATGTCTGCTGCCCTGATCCAGCTCTCCACTGGACCCGGCGGTCCTCACTGGACCCGGCGGTCCTCACTGGACCCGGCGGTCCTCACTGGACCCGGACGCCACCGGCGTCTTCTTATCACAACCCTGGTGAGAAACGGAGTCTGTGGAGAAACAAGAACACATTTCATCTTCCATGTTGTACAAAGCAATTGAAAGATTTATTTATTGTCTTGCAGAGCCAGGTGCAAATCTATAAATAATGTGACTAAAAAAGTAACATTCTAGAGCACTGGTGTCCAAACGTTTTCACATGGCCCGAAATCATCAAGGATAAAGTATTTGTTCATGGGCCAAAACATGTCCAACACCACAAAAAACTGTATTTTTTATTTTGGACATAAATTAGGCTTAAACATGTTCAGTACTATAAAACCTGACTGGCAATCAGAATCCAAAAAACTTTTTTAAGAAGAAAAAGGAGCTGTTGAAGTTTCTCTAA